TTCGTTTAAAAATTTCTTGGGCGGCCACGCTTCTTTGGCACCTCTAATGGGTGGTGCTCTTAAAACGCGTCAGGCCATCCTTTTTCACGCATAGACTCATCTTTACCAAGGGGTCGAAAGCACGCTGGTACACCTCCTTTGTCAACGACGCATCGCAGAAAGTCTCGAGTAGCAAGGGCTTATCGAAGGTTGAAGGGCTGTGCAAAGATAAGAAAATGTCCCTCTCATGTCGCCAACGTAGCCACAAGAACATGGATTTTAAGATTGGTTAAATAGACAGATTGTCTGACAGGCAGCTCTCTATCGTTTCTCAATTGAGCCGTAAAGGATGGTATACAAATCAGGATAATTTCGATCATGCCAGCGATATAGACAAAGAGCTTTGGTTTGAATTTCTTGGTCGCGTAAGGTGTGAGTTGTCCGCGCTTAGCCAAAATAACGACGAAATAAACTCACTTGTTCGCTATATACCTTCCGACCGTCATCAGACTGTCCAGAAGTAGCTTCTTATTAGTATAAAGTAAGAAGTAATTTACAGAATCCACGTTGTTGATCGTCATGGTCCCAAAACGCGAAAGTGTACTATACGCGGCAGCCAGTTGAGATTGTCGACACCGAGTAGCCAATTTAGCGTCTTTGTCAATTTTTTCTTCAGCTAACATGCTTGCCGTTCGAACGACGCAACTGTCGAAAACTTGGCTAGCTTCAGTGGTGGTGCGGGGTTTACAAAATTTGTGATGTGGTCCCACCTCTCCACTGTCGTTCAGATGACCGACTATCGGAGAGGGTAATCCGTTTTCGTGCTTGGTTCTTTCTTCACCTTGTGTACCCGTCGTTAGGCAAGATGCACTCTTCTCGGTGGACTCGTAGAGGTGCTAAAATTGACCGTGTCTGGGGAGAGGGAGATGGCGTGGAAGTCCTCACGCAATCACAGGTCACTTGTAGGTACTCGATATGAGCCACCCTAATCTCAACTAGATCGCCTTGTACAGTACGTAGATCTCGATTTGCTTGATATTCCGACCACTTAAGCGGTCTTGCGATCTTGATCACCCTAGTTTTCTTGCTGCGTACTATCGCAGTTGTCTTGAAGTTTGTTATAGTCCTAAACTCACCTGGCCAAATGACCTAGGTGCGACACTTATATGCACAGCCGGCGCAACTCTTTGTTTCGCCAAGAGACCAAATATTCAGCCCTGAAGAGATGCCATGTGTCTTTAAAGTAAATTGAACTCTTTTAAAAGTTGGCCAACCGATAGGTAAACCTATAACCTACCCCATTTACATTTAAGTTACTCACAACGCGTCGTTCAATGAATAACTTTGTCTCTTGTACGTCGTAGACGCCTTAATTTATCCCCCACCCTTTGCAAAGGTTAGGATCTGATCTTGGATCGAATCCCCTTTCAGATCGGACCTCTTCTCAGATCAGATCTCTTCTCACATTGAATTTTTTTGAGATCGGATCCCTTTTGGATCGTGATCGGATCCCTCTTGGACCGAATTCCTCTTAAAATAGGACCTCCTCTTCGATCGGATCTCTTCTTCGATCGGGTCTTCTTTTATATCGGATTCCCTCTCGGGTCGGATCCTATTGTCATGATCCACCCAACTGAACCTCTTTCCTTGTCCGGGTACCAGGTTAGCTTTTCTTCAGCACATTCCTCACACCATTATTCGATCCGCTTCTCCTCACTTAGCGTCGCATAGCAAAACTTGGCGTTGAATTTCCGAGCATGTGCTGAACCCAAAACAACATGATTAATGTCGCCTACTTTAATTTGCTTCGCCGGGATGTGACCCTTGTCGCGGTAGGAACTAAAAAATTGTGTTTTTTCGTAAGCGTAGAAGAAAATCGAAGAGTTATGACCAATTTTTTTTCTCTTGCCTGACACCCAAGCAATCGCTATAAATCCCCTTTATGCTGTTGTTGAAGCAAGCGACAAGGAGAAATCTGCCATGCTTATACTCTATAAATGTACCATCCAGTTGATTTCGCAATCTGCGAACTTGAAAGCACATGAATGTCTGGCTTGTATTCGACGAAGACCCGACAGATCCCCTTCGCGCAACCCGATAGATACCTTGTGTCCACGCTTGATCATTTCGAGTACTTATGACAAGATGAGACGGTAATGCGTGCGATATTCATCAAATAGTTGCGTTTGAGCTTGATGCGCGCGTCGACACATGTCTGGTACGTCAATAGACGCCCATCAGCTGTCAGATTCTTCTGAAGCTCAGCTGGACAGGCGTCACGACCCTTATTAATGATGAACAGGAAGGCCGAGTCAAGTATAGCAACAAATGACGACTTCTGTACACGTTTCGCTTCTCAAGAAGCCAAGTAAACCCGCGTCGCGTCGCATATGTGGTCCGCAAACGATTCAGGCGCCTCAAATTCTCTACTATACACAAAAGACTGCAAAGCTGCATTCTGGATTGACACAAAACGCCTTGCAGCGTCTATAATCACTCGAAGACACGAAACGCCCTCCCACTTTTGTTGTTGTACAGGAATATGTGCCGAAGTAATTATTGGAAATGATGGACCCGAAGGCAAGCGCACCGAAGGATTAAAGATTCACTCCTCAAGGAAAGGGTGACAAGGAGAAAAGGGTCACGAATCCCACGAGACATTTGGAGGAACAGACCCACAACACCAACCGAGGATAAATGATTGCCGGAGGACTGGTAAAATGGTAATGAAAGGAGTCGAACATGTCCCTTATCGGAAGACCCCGGTCCCTCAAGGTGGACCTCGGATCCTTCAGAGTAGACCTCGGGTCATACAAAGTGAACCTCGGTCGCTTTTAGTGAACCTCGGTCGCTTTTAGTGGACCTCGGGTGCTTCAAGGTGAATCCTGTCCCGTAAGGTGAATCCTGTCCTGTAAGGTGGACGTTGGACCTTTTGAGGTCAAGCTACTTTTGTTTGAGCAAATCGAGGAATTAGGAACGAGGTAAGGAAATTGTAACGGAGTCAAGGATATAAGGATAATCGAAATTCTCATTTTGCGATATACTTGGTACTTCTTCGTCTTATTGAAAGGAGCTTGCACTTGGTGTGCACGCATGTTTCGGAAATGGAATATAGTTTGGCCTCTCCCCGTTAAAGATAGCTGCATAGCAAAACCAAGTGCAGGAAGAACTTCTGTACTTATTTGGCTTGTAAGTTCGTCAAGAGGATCCCCCAAATTACCGCTAGGTCTGCCAGACTGTAATGGGGATGGGATATACTTTACCCCACCCCTCCCGTTGATGACAGTTGCATGGCGAGACCAAGCACAAGTAGAAACCCATGAAGTATTTAATCTAAGGGTTCGTCAAGTAGCAATCCTTCCAAGACCCGCTATTGGAAGCTGCCTACCGACTCAGTGGTCAGAGAGAAGAGCAAAGGCCAGGTGGTTCATACCTCCGGAACAACAAAGAATAGGCCAGGAGCGACAAGGTTATTGAACTATTTGACTATAGGCCTACTCTTGACCAAGTCGATCGAGTGTCCACCTACTGGCCACCGAGTGAAGCATATTTAATCGGAGCCCAAGGCCTTCCTCTGCCAAAGCTAGCACGTCCCAGTCTCCATCCCAGTCTACGGAGGAGTGCAATTCACCAGCACACGGGTACACAAGGTGAGTCAAGGTCCATATGTGTTATCGGGGTACCCCCTCTGTAAGTCGGCAGTCTGGCGAAGTGAGTGTGTTGAGCCCCATCACGCACGTTGGAGAACCCACTTCGTCACAATAGCAGAACTCAATATGTCGTCGCGACTGGCGTATAAACGTGAGCAAAAATATGTGCGCCCGCCTCCTAAATCTTATGACGAACAACCGTCATTTATGTTTGTGTCTTCCCAAGGTTGACGCCGTTGCCAGCAGTTTTCATTGTCGCCGGATGTAAAGTTTTGACGATGAGGCATTTAAATGTGTGGCTTTTACCTTCGTTGTATTTTTTATGTTTTAATTTAAACTTCAGTGTTTCGTTATGTTCTCATATCAATACAATTTCGTGCGTGAAATATTGACTTTAATTATTGTTTATTTAGTTTGAGGCGGCATAAAATTTTGTACCTATAACTTTCGGTAAACAAAAATACTTTATGAAAAAAGTAATAAAAACTTTTAAGAAATTCCCTGTTTGATATTTAGAAGACTTTAAATTCCGGCATTTGTTTTTATCTAGATTCTTGTGAACTTATAGTGCTCTATACATGATCCCTTACTTAGTAGTAGCGAAATCATTTGCTGTTGATTATTAAACACTTAAATAGGCAAATGATTGCTTCTCTCTTTATTTGCATGCTTATCGCTACCATGCACTTCAGCGTTTGATGGTTTGCCGATAAAACTTTAAAGGCTTGTGGTCCTGTTAGATTGAAAACTGGGTAACAAAAGTGATCGTAGTTACGCGCTTCACGCTTGGTCACTGTTGACGCCTTGCAGCAAGTTTAGGCTCGGCTGCAGTGACGTTGATAGAGCTAGACCATCTCAGCCGATTCTATTTGGCAGCACTTGCGCAAGTCTTTTGGTTATTCGATAATCCTTTGTCTACATTAAAGGCATCGAATATTTCGAAAAGCTAGCTTGATAAGATCGTCATTGCGATTGACTTTCGTCCTCCGAAAGAGACTCTGGATGGTCCAGACCTCTAACACAGTGATTGGAAAGGCTCGAAGGCTGCCAACAAATATCATTCTTTTAATTGACGCATTTGTAGCAAATTGTGTGGTATCGGTAAGGTTACAATGGAGCTGCAATTCCTCCTTCGTGTATAATTGTACAAGAAGTCGGAAAAACAAAATATGCAGCTCATTGTAACCAACTTCTTGAACACTTATTGCAAAGGCTCTTTATTACACTATAAGTTTTAGTCCCTTGTATCCACACGTTGCTCCTTAAAGTGGTTGTAAGTCTCCTTAATTTCACGAAGATTAGCTCTAATTGACCATTGAAAATTTCTGACTAAAGGACAGCTCAGGTGACCTAATACTACAGACAGAGCCCATGGAGCTGCTAATGCGTGGCCGTCGTGCCGAGCTATTGGCAGCTTCAGCCATGACGGCATATCTCTTGCTCTGTCCCTTCTCCAAGGTAGAAGAAAGTTTCAATTTACAAGCGACACACGATCTACTTGTTCTCGGGGTCCGAAACGTATCGCAATTCGACCATTTAGAGTTCCCGGGGGTGGTACCCCGCACTTTTTTAGGCTCATTGGTTGTGGCGGCGATCAGTCGCCCTATTATTTGGATCATCTTTGCACTAGGGGGGCAAAAGATCTGGGTGCAATTGGCGACACGATGGGTGCTGGGTATGCTAACGCTGGGGGCCTTGGTGTTCTTCGGCGATGGTGTGGGAATGCGCTTCGGTCGGGACACCAGTCGATTTCTTCTACTCATCTGTACCTGCCAATTTCACTTGCTCTTCTACATAAGCCGTACTCTGCCAAATGTGTACGCACTGGTAAGAAAGAGATATGGCATTGGCATGGACGGACACTTGAGGTAGCGTCGACAAACTAACTCGATGTGGTTATGTAGGCGTTGGTGCTACTTGGACTGGGATTTTGGCTCCGGGTGCGCTTACAGTTTCGTCTTTTTTTGGGAGAGTTATGTTTAACTTGGCGTGTCATATCGCGTAGGGCAAGTGGCAGCGGTGCGTGTTTCTGATCACTGTTGCAACGGTGGTGTTCCGCGGCGATACGGTAGTGTTGCTCGCACCATTAGTGCTGAGCATGTTGCTGTCGCGTCGTGCGTCCTTGCCTCAAATCGTATGCTGGGGGTTGTCGGCGGCTGTTCTGTCGCTCATTGCGACAGTTCTAGTAGATTCGTACTTCTGGCAGCGTTGGCTCTGGCCGGAGGGTGAGGTGTTGTGGTTTAACATTGTGCAGAACAAAAGCAGCGAGTGGGGTGTGAACCCGCCGCTGTGGTACTTTACCTCAGCGCTACCTCGAGCTTTGCAATCGACGGCGCTCATGATTCCGCTTGGCCTCAGGTCTGTCGTGTTACGATATAAAATTGGGCTAAAACGTTCGACGTTTGCTGACCATACTTGTTGCTCGTACATTGATAGCACGCTGTTCCCGGCTCTCCTACACTGCCGATCGCTGCATGATATCGCGTGTTCGTTAAAGGCGACGCCGCTTACGGATTGGAGTGTCGTATCAGTGGCGTGGCCCGCATTCGTCTACGTAGCTCTTTACTCTTTTCTGCCCCACAAGGAGCTCCGCTTCATCTTTAATGCTATCCCGATACTGAATATGGTGTCCGCAGTGGTATGTATTTACGCGCTGTGATCTCACTGTGACCTCGACGGCTGACGTATTGTTTGTAATGGTGTTACAATTACGAAGGGACTGGCAAAACTATACCGCAAGAAAAGCAAAGTAAGCAGATATTGCCGCAGATAGATCTCGTTTCCTCTTGCATTTAGCCGATCTCCCTCCTTTGTGTAGGTACGCTTCGCTTTCGCTGGAGCCATTGGCTGTCTTTTTCTCTCGTGTGTAGGCACGCTGTTCTTCCTCATGGCTGCTACATCCAATTACCCTGGTAATGCTTTCGCTTTCATCTTTCATATAATTTGGTGTCCATATTGACGTATACTTATGAAGGTGGCGAAGCGTTCATGCATTTGCATCAAGCATTCAAAAGTGAACGCGGAATGCACCGAAGCGTGCATGTTGATGTTCCAGCCGCTATGACTGGCGTGTCCCGCTTTGGAGAAGAATTTTCCGCCTGGGGGTATGTATTACAACAAGCCTCAATATGCAACACTGGCGCTGTCATCTGACCTTGTATACGGTTGTAGGTACTCGAAGGATGAATCGTTGACGTCGGTGGAGCAGTTGGCGAAGTTTGACTATATACTGACGGCCGCGGATCCTGCGTCGTTTGAAGAGATGTTTGAATACGTCGCCGGATTCGATGCCTTTTCTGGTATCCAAATCACCGGCTACAGCATAACTTTTCAGACCACAAAGCTGATCTCTCTCATGCGGAACCGCGAAGTCGCATCTAGCCAATTGTAAACCTATATTCTAGATGAAAACAAGGTGCTAGATGAAAACAGGTGCTTCGGAGTAGGCTTTCACTACCAGAACGTCAATCATTTGTCCAACGAGTGGTAACTGATCACTTCGTTGGGATGATAAAAAATGTGTCAGCCTTGTTTAAACTTCCATACACTGTATTGCTGCTTTCAAAGGTAAAGTATCATATCGATTGTAGAGTCAACGTTACAGAGTTCCTAATGTCGGACAACAGAGTGTATGCAGAATTAGTCGTCTCTGACAATGCTTAGGCGCCATGCAACATATTTTGGGCCAGAACTATCGCAATTTTAGAAATGCTATTGCTATGACGTAACTTTAGCATTTGTAACTATGACAATTCTATCTCCCACTTACTACAGCATCTTATTCATACTTGCCTACATGTTCTTATCCATTGATTCATTTGCTCCAATATTAGTAAGAGCTTCATTGTCGACGTCGCCACGTCTACCAGTAAGAATCGACGCACTCCATAACCGGTATGGCTTCGTGGTACTATTAACTACAATCTCCTAAAACTCGCATCAAATTGTACCGCTTGTACATAATGAAAAATTCAGGGTATTGCTGGTCGCTAATCGTTCCTCAATATAACTCATTCTCAGCCACTACATTGTGGATATGGGGCACAATTAAACATAAACGCCCACATCAAACCTTCCAAATTGCCTTTACGTCTTTTACATTCAACAATATGTGTATAATTGTTGCTTAATATATATATAACGACCGCCTGCAATTTTCTGAAAGAGAGAATGATCCATCAGACATTCTACTTTCGCTCCTGTGTAGATTGCGAATTAGGGCAGAAATTGAACTGTGGAAAAATAGCAAAAAAGGAGTAAAAGTCACTACATTGTAACCCTGCGATTGAGCACCACGTGTATGTGAATCGGAGTGTCAATACTGGGTTGTTCAAGAGCTATTTAAAAACATTCTAATGAAATTTTTAGAAATATCGATATAAATATTCTCATTTCGGTTATATATGATAAATCTTTTAATCACAAACAATTGTTTTGGCTGAAAAAGACGCCAAGATGTCATCCCATCAAATTACCAATCAATGTCGGACATGCTCAATGAGTGGTGAGGCAGAAGCCGCCATACATGTTCTTGGTTGAATTAAGCCTCGATAACATAGAAAGTCATAGTCTCCAAAATGTACTATCTTTATGATACTTCTATTTTACGTCGACTAAGCGTCACCGCTTGATAACGCGCACCTTCTATACTTCTAGTGTACGTGAGACTTTGCTGCACGTTCCTTTACTGCCAATTTGTATCCCAAGCTTTCTTCATCTGTAAAAGCGCAGGATGCAACGCTACGATGGGAGGTAAATGTTGCGTTGGCGAATCGTGTATTGTGTAGATCCATATTATTACTTGGAAGAATTCATGATTTCGAATTTGGGAGGGCCGTTTGTGAATGCACTGCGAATCGCTACTAAGACCTGTGCTCACAAATACCTTATTGTGTAGCTGTGGCTTCCTTTTGAAAATAATAAACAACTTATTGCGTTCGTGAAGCCTGTTCGCCGCGTAAAAAATGATTTTCATGCAAATACAATATTAGCAGCATCGGCTTTCGAATGATAAATTCAATGAGGATAAGTTATTCAAGCTTCTTTAAAAGGCCTTTCTCGCTAGAATCAGGGTTCCCGAGTGGTACCTGTGAGGCTAGTGCGTCACGCATTATTTCGAAAGACCTGTAGTGGTCGAAATTGAATCGGTGCTCACCGATTGATGCGGTTAGTGCTTAGTTAAGGCACCATGAGGCCTAAATATTGATTTTGATAACATTGGCGCATGAGTGCTTCACAAAAAACAGTTGTAGACTTCATGTTTATATTTGCGAAATCTTAATTCAAATATGTGTTGAATTCTGAAACGTTGGAGGATCTCAAGCTGAAGGCAATACGCTGATCATACAATTGACATGAACTCGCAACTATCCTTCATAGAAGCGATGGGTGTAGCATAGAAACGGTTCTATCCATTATGATTGGTGTCTAGTTCATAGTCAATGAGGCAACCTAACAAACTGTCATGCGCATCGCCTAAGACGAACACGACGGCAAGCGCATGGACCAGCTTTATAATTGGAAGCCGTTGAACCGACGCAATCACTTCTATCAATAATGGCATGCCACCAGCAGTATTTTCAATTCTACCGATGTAATAGCACATAATGATTGCTGCAACTTTATGCGCAAGGCCACGATTACAGTATGATCAACACGCGCGCATAATTTTATCATAACCTTTCGCAGGGCGGATCCGCCGCAGTTGACTTAACACCTCGTCGTTTATACATGAGCGCCTCCCAAAACAGGCGGCGTTGGGTATCAAATCAATATTTGCAACGTCATCTGCTCACCTGTTGTTATGATTACATGTGAAAGCTTCGTCAGGTATTAACTACGCATTTGATCGGACAGCAGCAAAAGGATATCTTGACAACTAGAAAATGCGTACATGTTCGGCTTCATGTTGATCGGACTTGATATAAATTATGTGCCTTCATCTTCAGCGCGACTTTTGCCGGCATTGTAATCCTGTACACCTATCGCCTCGGCATTCTTGATACATACTAGCACAACTGACTGCTTTTGTTGCTTTTGTGCACATTTGTCATAAGAAATCACCATGGACTTTGTGGGTTTCTACGCCGTAAAACACTTTTGTCAATTTGTGCGCAACGTCCATAACTGGCTCTCATGCGCTCACGAAGCATCACTTTACTCTCGGCGCTACAACTAACTACGTCGACATCGATAGTCACAACAAGTGTCACTTAATTGTCATGCGTGTCCGACCTGTGGCGAGGGCCTTGCTTGTTTTGACGAAGTCACCGAATGTCGGCAAGATGGTGTTGCAAGCAAACTTACCTTAACGTAATCCTCCGCAGTTATGCCCATAAAACGTGTGAAGGGAATATTCTTTCGTAGAGTTTATGCGCTTGCTCGATTGGTAATTGAGGGATTATCGATGAAAAGACACATGCAGAATCTCATCGTTTCCGACGTGAAGAAAGATTTTACTTGTAAGATAAAAGAAGAGATAGCAACGAAGCACATAATCCAATCCGTCAGAAAAACAATATCGGCATCTCATGCGCAACACAAACACCTTTGGCGATAGTCTACGCAGCCAGAGCTCTGTGCAGCTCATGGGCTTCATTGACAAGTGCGTGCGCGTAGATGTAAAGGAGACGACAGACGAAGAGGAGCTGCGCATTCGTGGCTACGAGACGCTGTTGGAAGCAAGCACAGCTGTATTATCCTGCATTCAAGTCCTGCGTCGGATCATCCGGGAGCATACGTATGGCCGAATGGGACGCGAGCTGCAGCATTTGTCGCTGACAGTTGCATCATTTGAGCGCGTGCTGTACACTTTTATAAAAGAGGAGATCGTCATGGCGTCGAAGCACTATGCGAGTCGTCCGTCGGTGGATTTTCGTGCTAAAACTGCGTTAAAAGATATCATCCCATTGATCCCAACGGACGAGCGGTACACAATTCTGTCAGGTGGAGTGGCGTCGCTCTTACGACACGCTACCAAGTCGCTTGAAGAAACTCACCAGGTACTTAAAGAGCTACAGTCTGGATACCATCCCGATCGAGAGAAGCAGTGGTCAAGGACCTCGGTTTTTCTATTCGTGACAGTTCTATTTCTACTGAGGAGGTTTCGCATGCGCACGTCGTTCCGACATTTCTTGCAGCAAGTCTTGCCGAACCGGCACATGATTAAGTGGGCAGTGCTGCTGGTGATTGCTGGTGACTATTGGAATCGAGCCATGTATCGCTTTTCAAATTTGAGACGAATCAAGGTGCACCATGCGCGCGTGCTGATGGCATTACGACTGTTTCTGCTGTGCCAGCACGTGCTACAACGCGCGCGGCCTATCAGCAATGCGTCCGACCATCGACTTTTGATTGATAGCCCAATGGAGGCGGACATCGATGATGACCTAAAAAACGCGACCACGCTGCTGGTTGAGCGAGTGCCATTACCTGCTGAGTTTTACGATCGATCTTCAGAGCCGTGGGGATTTACCGTTTTCAAAATCGGTACTAATGTCCTAACTGCGTCCAGCGCTTTTGCGCATTCAGTTTTGGGGACGCAGAACAAGGTTCTGCTAAAATTTCTTGGCCTCCCACTTCTTGTGATGGCGATACCTTACTACGCGATACGTAGTTCGAAAGCAGCACGGTACACAACACGTACGCTAATTGACCAACCTAATGTCGAAGTGATTCGGATGGGCTGGCAAGTATTTGGCGAGTCCCGACTGGTGCGGCTCATAACAAGCCTTCAGTGTCCCAAGCTTTCTGTTTTTCAGGAGCAGTTTTTGTCCGCTGACGGATCCGCACTCAACGAGAAGCGGCTCAATATGTCTGATATCGGCATGTATATATATAGCGCTCGGTCAATGGACTCCGTGAAGGCTGGGACGTGGACAAATGCATGCACACCGTTGACTTCCCGAATGGTTGGTTGCGGGTTACCTTCTACGCGTCCTGTTCTCCTATATATTCACGGTGGAGGGTTCTTCGGACGATTTATTGCAAAAGACTATTACAACTTAACACGTTGGGCACGTGTGCTGGGTGCTGTCATCGTCTACGTCGGTATGTATTACTTATTCTTGTGCCATTACCATTGATCACCAATTTCTGACTGACTTTGGTGGTATAGATTACGGTCTTGCACCCGAGATTCAATACCCGCACTCCATGAATCAATGCTACACTGTGTACAAATGGATTCTCACCGGTGGACTAGGATTCCAGCCCGGCAAGATTGCGCTGTTTGGCGAAAGTGCTGGTGCGTACCATTGCGCGTTTTTGTGGGTTCGTTCTATTTGACACACTCTGTTCGCTTTGTACAGGTGCCAATATGGGAGCAGCACTTTGCATTCGATGCATCCAAGATGGCATGACCCTGCCAAGTGGAAACGTGTTCATGTTTCCGGCTCTCAATTTGCACTTGTCTCCATCGCCGTCGCGTTTTATTCACCAAAATGACCCGGTGCTGCCGCGCGGCATTCTTGAGCTAGCGCTCACGTCGTACTACCCTTCACATGGGCATTTGAATCAGTACAAGCTCAACATCCATGACCCGTGCGTGTCTCCTGGACTGGCCGAAGATTCATTACTGAAAATGTTTCCTCCAACGTCGCTTGTGGTCGGAGACCTGGATCCATTGCTGGATGATAGTGTCGACTTTTACACGCGGCTTTCTTTTCTGAAGGTGCAATCCAGTTTGAAGATTTACGCGGGACTTTCACATGGTTTCCTGATATACGGTGATTTAGTTCCGGAAGCGCAAAAGGCAATCGATGAGACTTGTGAGCGTGTGCAAAATTGTCTTCGGTTGCGCTGAGAGAGGCTGTAAGTCTGACAGAGAAACCGTGACGTAAGCTTGTTGCCCTAGGATACATCCACGATTGTGATGTCACCAGTCTAGTACGAGCATGGTTTGAATTTACAATTGCATAAATGGAGGAATTTGATTGTGCAGCAAGTACCTGTCAATGTAGAGACAAATTCATGTCGACAATAACCCACGACGAAATAATGACTCTAACGATTGTGTGTATTATAATTATTATTTAACTCAGCATGTTTAATTAAAGGAGACCATCAAGCATATATCATTATTATTCTTACAAAAACAAATAGGTAACAACTTTTTTGACTGGCAACCTCTATGTCGGAGCCGACGTCAACTTG